GACACGGAGGGACAAGGGGGACATGGAGGGATGTGAGGGGACATGGGAGGCACGGGGGCACAGGGGGACGTGGAGGGATGGGGGGGACATGGGGGGACATTGGGGGACACGGAGGGCACCTGGAGGAACACCAGGGACATGGACTGATGGGGGGCACAGGGGGGCACGGGGGGACATGGGCTGACAGGGGGCACGGGGGGACTTGTGGGGGCAAAGGGGCACCCGGAGGGTGTCCCCAGGGCTGGGGGGGAGTCCCTGCTGCCCCCACGGCTCCTTCCTCCCCCAGATCCTGACGGGGGAAGACTGGAACGCGGTGATGTACGACGGCATCAAATCTCAGGGCGGCGTCAAGGGGGGGATGGTTTTCTCCGTCTACTTCATCGTCCTCACCCTCTTTGGCAACTGTATCCTGGGGGGCCCGGGGGGGGGGGCCCTGGGAGGGTCCTGGGAGGGTCCTGGGAGAGGAGGAGCCGCCCTGGGCCCCCACTTTGCCTTGACGTGCCCCCAGACACCCTCCTCAACGTCTTCTTGGCCATCGCGGTGGACAACTTGGCCAACGCGCAGGAGCTCACCAAGGTGGGGGGTCTGAGGGGTCTGGGGGTCCTGGAGGGGCCTGGGGGGGCCCTCTGGGCCGGGCTGGACGTGGTGCCGGGGGCTTTGCAGGATGAGCAGGAGGAGGAAGAAGCCGCCAACCAAAAGCTGGCGCTGCAGAAGGCGAAGGAGGTGGCCGAGGTCAGCCCGCTCTCCGCGGCCAACATGTCCGTCACCATGTGAGTGCCCGGAGCCGGCCCGGGGACAGCCCGGAGCCAGCCTGGATCCGGCCTGGAGCCATCCCAGAGACATGGGGGATCCATCCCGGATCCATCCTGGATCCATCCCAGAGCCACCCCAGTGCCACCCCAGAGCCATCCTGGATCCACCCTGGATCCACTCCGGATCCATCCCGGATCCACCCCAGAGCCACCCCAGTGCCATTGGAGATCTATCCCAGATCCACCCTGGAGCCATCCTGGACCCATCCCAGATCCACCCCAGTACCACCCCAGAGCCATTAAGGATCCACCCTGGAGCCATCCCGGATCCACCCCAGTGCCATTGGGGATCTATCCCAGATCCACCCTGGATCCATCCTGGATCCACCCCAGTGCCATTGGGGATCTACCCCAGATCCACCCCAGAGCCATCCTGGATCCATCCCAGTGCCACCCCAGCGCCACCCCAGAGCCATTGGGGATCTATCTCAGATCCACCCCGGATCCATCCCGGCTCTATCCCGGAGCCATCCCCAGTTCCACCCTTGACTCCCTCCCACCCCACCCCAACCCCCTTCCTCCCCCCCTTCCCCCCGCAGGAAGGAGCAGCAGAAGAACCAGAAACCCTCCAAATCCGTGTGGGAGCAGCGCACGAGCGAGCTGCGGAAGCAGAACCTGCTGGCGAGCCGGGAGGCGCTTTACAGCGAGCTGGAGCCCGAGGAGCGCTGGAAGGTGCCCTACGCTCGCCACCTCCGCCCGGACATGAAGACCCACCTGGACCGGCCGCTGGTCGTGGACCCGCAGGAGAACCGCAACAACAACACCAACAAAACGCGCCCCGGAGACCCCCCCCCGCCGCCCGACCCCCGCTTCGCGCCGCTGCGGCAGCCGCGATACCCCGACCCCGGCGGAGGAGCCCCCCGGCCCGCAGAGCCCCCTCCTCCGCCCGGGGGGGTCCCCCCTCCCCACGGGCGACGCCCCCGCAGCCGGAGCCGGGAGCCCCCCGAACGGGAGCCCAGCGCCGAGCGCGGCTTCGTGGGAGGGGACGGGGGGGAGCGGCACAAACCGAGGCACCGGAGCCGCGACGGCCGCGCCGGGTCCCCCGAGCGGGAGCACCGGAGGCACCGCGGGCACCGCAGGGCGACGGAGGAGGGTGAGGAAGGGGCGGCGAGGACCGAGAGGCGACCGAGGCACCGGGAGGGAGCCCGGCCGGCCCGAGGGGACGGGGACGGGGAGCAGCAGCACCACGGAGACGACAGAGAGAGGCGGCGGCGGCACCGGCACGGGCCGCCCGCGGGGTACGACGGAGAGGGCAGGAGGGAGGACAAGGAGCGGCGGCACCGCAGGAGGAGGTGAGGGAGAGCGGAGGGTCCCCCGGGGTTGGCGGGACCCCCCTCGGAGCTGGGGGTTCCTCTGGATCCCAACAGAGACCCCGATATTTGTTGGCTCTCCCGGTTCTGTGTCCCCCCCC